ACCCTCGTTGTAATAACTCGTCCACTTGTTTCTTGAGCTCCTCATGCTCAACAGGGTTCATTCGGTAATGGGGCAAGTTTGGTAAAGAAGCTCCAGGCACAAGGTCTATAGCATGTTGAATGTCTCTTAGAGGTGACAGTTGGTGGGGCAGATCTTCAGGGAAAATATCAGAAAAGGTTTCTAAGAGCGGTTTCACTTCATCGGGGATGGGTTCTTCTTGATCGACACGGACTTCTCGGGCTATTAGTGCGTACAGAGGGGCTCCCGACTCTATTTCTGTACCTAAGTCTTTGGCAGTTAATAAGTTCACGCTCGGGTTGGGTTTCAGGGAGTTGGGTTTAACTTCATCTTTGGTGGACTTAGGTTGAGTAGGTAGGAGTTTAATTTTCTTGTCCTCGTGTTCAAACACACAGGTGTTAGATCGGCCGTAGATGTGTACGTCGTTGTCGAACAACCAAGGGCGGCCAATGATGATTTGACCCACATCCATTGTCAAAACATCGCACCAGATTTTCTCTTTGTACCCAATGAACTCAATAGGAACGAGACTCCTATCTTTCACCTCCAAGGTGGTTGAGTTGATCCAGGCGACTTTGTAGGGGTTCGGGTGTGGTGTGGTTCTTAACTGAAGTTTTGAGATCATAGCAGACGAGACCGCGTTAATACAACTCCCACTGTCAATTATGACCTTGCAATTCTTGTCTCCAATCTTAGTGAAAGTGTAAAAGATCGAGGTCCTTCGCCAGTCGTCGCTAGGTTTAGGTTGTGAGAAGGCACATCGAAATACTTGAAGATCCAAGTGATTCATCTTTTGGAGGCAGTGGATCACAGCAGTATCCTCCTCGTTAAAGAAATCCTCATCGTCGTCAATATGGTGAACTAATTCCGCTTCAGGCTCATCCTCTTCTTCCGTCACTTCTTCAATTATAGTGACCTTAAACGGGCTGGAGCATTGAGAGGCAATATGTCCGTACCCATGGCATCTAAAACACTTAGTGCCGACAGTGGTTTTAGTTGTTTCCCGTTCAGGTGTTTTCCCTTTATAGTCCGTTATAGGTTGGGCTTGGCCAGGTGAAGGTCGACTGCTCGAAGGTCTAGTGGGTTTGTTGTAAGGTTGTTGAGAGGATGACTTGAACGGGTTGGGTCGCGACTCTTGATTCCTAGAGCATTGGTTCCTAGATTCTTCTAAGTCTAGGACAAGGCTACAGGCAGCTTCGAAGGTATTCACTCCTCTGGCAAACAGTTCGTTTCTAAGGTCTTCTCTCAATCCAGCTCGAAACATTAACAGAAGTTGCGTAGGAGTGGTGGTCTCTTCCCCGTTACAACGAATCAAGAAATCATCAAAGGTCGAAATATATTCCTTAATAGTTTTACTTCCTTGAGTTAACCGATTCCAACGATCTAAGAGCCTAGGGTAGTATGAGGGAGGGATTTATTTTCTTTTCAGTTCTTGCTTCATCGCTCCCTAGTCAGCTATGGGATATTCTCCTCTAGTTTCCCTCATGTGTTCTACGTTAGTCCAGTATTGGTTGGCTCTACCGGTCAACTTCATCTCAGCAAATCTAACTTTCTTTTCCTCCGATATGTTATACCACTTGAAGTAACTGTCCATCCCTTTAATCCAATCAAGAAAGACTTGGGGTTCTAACGTGCCATCAAACGACGGGGCTTCTACCTTAATACTCTTAAGGAGTTGGGTTCGTTGTCCCTCCAAGGTGCCTCACGTCCTACCTGATCCTGAGGGGGTCGGTGATTTGGTCGATAATAGTCTCTAGGGGGTCCGTACTCAGTTCGGTAATCTTCTCCTTAAGGAGATTGGGGCCTAGAAGGAGTATAGATGGTAGGATGTCCTGCCCTTTCAATGTTATCTAGTCTTTCTCCCGTGTGACGCTTAAGTTCAGCTACACTCATTTGGGTGTCCCTAATTTGTTGTGTCATTGTGCTCAACTGGCCTACAATCATGTCTAAGGTCGCTTGCATATGTGTAGGATCCATGGTTGGGTGCTAAGGATCACTAGGGAGGCTTTCTAAGATAAGGGCAGCAGCTAATCACACCAGTTTGATCACTAGAAAGGCACCTACAGCAGTTGGAAAGTAAAGGGCAGCAAGCACTAAAGAAGGGGGAAGCTTCCTAGGCAAAATGGTTGGACTCCGGGATGGGGACAGCTAGGAACTATTACCTAAAACTCTCGAGAAAAGGCTAAAACAGGTGCAGGAAATTAGTGGACAGCAAATAGTTTTCTATGTCTAAGTAGCCTAGTTGATTAGGGAAGTGAATGTAATGATGACAGCACTTAAACACTTAAATATGATCATGTAACATGAAAATTTTACTGCAGGAATTTCAGGACAGCAAAAGAAAACAGCAGAAAAACATTACTTAGATGATGTTATGCATGCAAACGACTGATGACAAGCTAAAGGAGACTCCTAGGATGCATCTAGCATGATCAAAGCATGCTAGCCATGCTCTGATACCAAATGATGTGAATCAAAGTAGGAATTGTGTGCGGAAATTAAAACAAGAATTTGTTAAAACTTGCCAATACAAATTTATTACTAATAAAATAGAGGATTAAATTTATTCTAAGTAATCAACTTGTTTAGCCGAAGATTTGCGTCGAGATCACCAAACAATTCATAATATTTCAAGATAAAAGAATTACTTAAATGCTCATAACAAAATCCCACAATTAATAATGAAAAAGTTCACCTTGAGCACCCTCTCACTTGTTCACTCTTAGGCTTTAGCGGAGAAGAAAGAACCACACGAAGATGGAGAGCACCACTACGGAAAAGGAGACGAAAGACTTCGTTACCGGAGAGGTAGTCACCGGGGGAGGTGGTAGTGGATGGCGTCCGATGATCGTCCAAGTGTAGTCACGAAACTGTCGGTCGATGATGCTTACGAGAATCGAGACGACTCGCTCCAAGTACTCTTCAATTGTGGCGTCGTCTTCAAATCCTACGTCAAAACACGGAGATCGTAGGATATTAATGCTCCCGTCGGCGTGGAATACTAATCCCCATTCAAGCTCCGGATCCGCCATTCAACATTGAGGAAGGGCGGGAAGAAGACAAGGGAAGGAGAATGAGCCGTGAGTTAGGAGACTTTTTTAGTCCAATGTTATTAGTCAATTGTTTCAGCAGTAGTTTTCTTTGTTCCACCTTGAGGACAAGATGACACTTTGGGAGGGGTGTACTGATAGACCGGCCAAATTTGATTGGAAGGAAATTAGGAAATTTCCTAATCATTAGGGAGTTGTTTAGGAAGGTTCTTAATCAAAAGGAATTAATTATGAAATGTTTCCTAATTGAAGAGGGAGCTAATTTCGGGAGGAGGGATTAATTAGGAAATATTTCGTAATTGAAGAGGGCAGATTTATGGGATGATTTGAGGGCTGATTTGGGAGGGAAATAATTAAGGAAATAGGAGGGAATTATGGGAGGGCTGTTTAGGTATTTGTTCTTTAATTGTTTGCTTTAAATAGGAAGAGAGGATTAAAGTTAGGGGTATGCAAATTATTGTGGCTGATTTCGTTCTTGGAGTTTGGTGACTTGGGCTCTAGCGGTGTCTAGGGGTTGGGAGAGATAGATTCTCCTCTCGAATTGAGGATCAATTGTATCTTGCTATTTTCTTCCATTAGTTTGATTATTGCAATAAAAACTACTATTTTGCTTGTTTTTCGCTTGGATTTGTGGATCGTTCTTTGTTTTTTGTCTCTATTGTTAGAATTTACTTGAGATATTCAAGTATTTCCTAACAAAATGAAGTAAAGTTGTATAATCCTCAAGCCCTTGCGGTTGTTTTTCATTGTGCGTTGCTTGCTAAAAAATAAGAGAAGATTGCACTCATTTCTAGGACGGGAGGATAGTCTAACACTTACCCACCCAGATGTCTGACACTTACCCCACCTAGATAAAAAATTTTCTATTGCAGGTATCATCATCATCAACATAAAGAAGTTTGTTTTCATTATTACTATTGACAAAATATGAAAAGAAATTAAGTTTCCGTATTAATTATACAAATAAGGAAAAAATTATCTTCATTTTTGTCATCCAAGGAGAACAAAAGAGTTTTTTATTTTCATCTTCATCAAGTTTGGAGCAATCAATGATGATTTAAATTATTATGAAGACACCAAGATAAAATTCCACTTTTTATATATTGACTTGGCCAAAATTTAAAAACAAAGAACCATGAAGAATTTGACCCTCCTCTATGCTCCCAAATTTATGGAACCATTTCTTAAAAAGAATGAAATAATGAATAACTGCAATCAAGATCAATGTAAATCTTGAAAAATGCTGCCTAGGAAGGAAACATGTATAACACAATAAAAGGTTTGGAAGTTTCAAATTCAACACAAGTAATAGTGACTGACCCATGAAACTTTACGGCATTCATATGATTCTCACAAGTAGTAATGATTGCAATAAAGATCAATGTATATTTATCATAATCTACCCACCGAGGTGGGCGAGCACGGTTGGGTACCCCACATCCGGTGTTCGAATCCCCACTATTATGGCCTCGCCTCTTTAGTGGGGTAAAGCAAGTGTGGGCCCGATGCCGGTGGGTGGCCTTGCTAAGTTCTGCCGAGCGATTACTTACACCGCCAAACGCTCCTTTTAGAGTGATAGCGGGTAGATACCTCCGTCCCCATATATATCATAATCTAAGATTTTTTTTTGTTTTTTCAAGATAAATTTCTCCATAAAACCTTACTGCATACATATGATTCTCACAAAGAAATGTTCACCTACCCACAATTCACCAAAGATTTTGTTTCCGGTGATCCATTGACAAACAAAAGAACAAGACAAAAGAAGATTATTATCTTACAGGAAACTCATGAGTATTCTGTTTGCTCCCCATTCCATTGCCTATGTAACTCTGTTCCAAAATTGGAGCTATTCAGGCCTCTCTACAAGTTACTATGCTTCTTTGTTGGCTAATTCTCATATCTATATTGATAAAACTGTTTCTCCTACAGTAACCGGAAAGATCACAAGAAAAATTGATGTTTATGCATTTGGTGTGATACTCTTGGAGCTCATGACAAGTAGAAAGGTGCTTGATGACACTGTCCCCGACGAAGACGCCAATTTGGTTGCTACCTTTCGCAGGATCCATCCCAGGGATGTATCTAGCTTAGACAAATTTGTCGATTCTTCCATCTTTCCCAACGACGAATCTTGCAGAAGCATTGCCGATGTTGCAGAGATTGCATATCACTGTACCACCCGCGACCCCAACTACAGGCCTGAGATGAGCAATGTGGTCACCATGTTATCTCCCATTGCAGACCAGTGGTCTCCTAACAATTACGGGGATCATGGTGGAGATGGCAAGTTGAGCATAAGCCTTACCAGTATGGTTCATAAATGGCAAGTGAGTGATGATTCTTCCTATGTCGATTCATTCAGCAGTTACCAGGCAAGCACAAGTACTTTCCATTAGATTTACTGGGAATAACTACCTGAACTATGATTTGTTCTCCCATTGTAAAGCTTGTGGGAGAAGTGCTTGTTGCATATTAAGCATTTTAGGCTTCGTTTGGGACGACTTCTTATTGCTTCTAAAAGCAGCTTTATAATAAAAAAATAAATTTTCTTTACTAGAAAGCTGCTTCAAAAAGAAATAAAAAAGCCGTCCCAAACGAAGTCTTAGTTAGAGCAGACCACTTGTAGAATGGCTCGGCTTCTACTTCAGTAAGAACTGAAGGAACTGGATTCTTTCTTTGAGTGGTTAAAGAAAGTTCTGTTGTTCTATTTTCTGTTTTCTTTTAAATTTTCTCAGTGGGGAAATCAATATGAGAGTTCTTACCATTCATTTAGTTGTCTTACATGTATTGCTGTCTGTAAATTCAGAACCTGATTTGGGAAGAATGAAAGCAACAAGAACATTACATTATCTGTTCTTTTTGTCTCTCCTCTTAGAATACAATTGATTTCACCTTTCAAGCTTTTGTGAAGTGATAACTGTATTTAAGCTCTCAATCTTAATGTGACAATGGAGGAAGCTACTAAACAAGAAGAGAATGTTGCAGCGAGGGTGCAGGAAAAAGCTAAACCTTAGAGGGTCCAATTCGAAGAGGAAACCCAGACAAAAATGGTGGCAGAAGTGTTCATTGCTTGGGAAGCCATGACTGAGGAAGCTACAGCCCACAGTCCATGAGCAGAAGACAAAACAATCTGACCAGAAAATTGAGAAGGCCACTGAGCTGACCTAATTGCTCATCGAGATGGTGCTGTGAGAAGATAGTGATGTAATTGTGTTGCAGTGGGATTCAGCTGGGCCTGCACCGTGAGGTATGTTCCTTTCTTTCATGGCTTACATAACAAATATGGGCGCAATGAATGAAATATTAAAGTTTAGGTGATTTACATATATTGTAACAACTTAAACTCTTAACTATCGAGATATTGTCCGCTTTGGCCTAAGAGCCTTACAATTTTGCCATGTTGGTGTAACTTCTCAGTAGGTCATCCATCCCAGAATTGCTATGGGATGAGCACGCTTAACTACAGAGTTTTTAATGGAAGTTTCGTTCATTACACCAAAATGTGCCTCGATGTTCAAGAGTGTAACTTTCATTTACTTAAGGGGTTTCACATACATACCACTTTATATAATGTTATTTACATACTAACATCCAAAATTTTAATATTTTATATATATTACCCATAGATCAAATATGAGTGTAAGAAATGAAATATTAAAGTTATGTGTGGTTGGAACTATATATATATATATAAAATCTAAGGTATGTTTGTTATGGAGCTCCCTTCATACGTTGCTTAGGAAGAATCGTGATGTGAGCTTGCATGAGGAGGCATTGATGATACCAACAACATGTAAAAGAGAGGAGGAACTTTTGAGACGAATCATAAGAAGGTACCCACATCACCAATGACACACGAATGAGCAGAGGAGATTTTGAGGGAGACTCGCTCGGTGCAGAGATCGACAGGATCAACGACATACATAGAAGAAGAGATAGAGATAGAAGCTCGCGTGAGGGCACTCGAATGCATCAAAATAAATTAAGAATGGATTTTAGATTCCTCAAAAATAAATACTTGGCCTTCCAAGAAGGGAAGTACCACTAGCATCTTAAATGCCAGATCATCTCATATACATATAAATAGCAATCCCTTTCATAATGAGCCCCCACCTCCACCGCTCCACACACATTCACACTGTAATTACATTCCCTTACACCATCTAAAGAAGACAAAATAGTGATAGCTAAGAGCCTCTTAATGGCCACCCTGGATGCCTTGGTTGGTAGAACAACTCACACTCCACATTAATAAACTTCTATTTCTTCAATTTTAACCTTTTTTTTAATCAAATCTTAATTCTAATGTAATTTAAACCTAGGTCAATGAAACTCATTGGAGCTTGAATTGTGGCCATGGCATAAGATTTCGCAATCGGTGTTCGTAGGCGGCTAGAACGAACATAGCCGATGAAGTTAGGGTTTGTTGGGACCTCATTGACAAGACCGACAAATCTGGTGATTTGAGAACAAACAAAAATAATTTCTTAATGGGTCCACAATGTGGAGAGGCTCTCGCTTTGAATGACTGGTTCAAACAAGCCTGAACGGTCCAGCGGCAAATTAGGATGCACCGCGTCACTCGGTACACAGCAAAAAAATAACGTGGCGCATCCTGATTCGTCTCTGGATGATATCCGATATTTTTTGCTAAAAAATAAATTCTCATACCGACATAATAATATTTATCTGAAATTATAATTAAATACACCATAAAAAAAAAATTCTTCTAGAATTTTCTCTAAAGCAAAAAATGCCAACAAGATCATAAATGAGTGCCCCT